CAGAAAATCCTATCCCCTCAGCACCTCTCCCTAAGGGCTGAGTGACACCCATCTCTTGGGGGCAGAGAGTAGGAAATTACCCCAACAACAGAAGTTTTCTTAAAACAAGATTGATTAGAGACACAGAAAATCAGAATAAAATAAAAGAAACCATTTTGATAAGAAACCCCATGTGAAACTTTGGTAAAGCCCAGTGAGCTGGGCTTCCCTTGAATAGTTACAGAGAAAAGAGCAGGTGAGCTCACATCTCTTGAAAGCAAAATCCATGTTCTGACCCCCTGGTCAGAGACAATCTGGCACAGCACCCCTGCCGCTGTGTCTCCAAACCTCTGCTACCAGTCTCTTCCCATTGCATTTTTAAGCCCTGCATGCTGTCCTTATCCACGTGCTAGAGTTCATCATCACATTACTGTGAGATCACATCAGCATTTCCACAAAGCAGTGTTTGACTAGGTGCCCTCTAGAGGAAAGGAATCAGTCCCTTGTCCTCAGTACCCCCTGGGAAGTTCCCCCACCCTCCTGACAAGTCAAGCATTTCCAAGGTCACTTTGATCTCCAAATCCTTAGACGTTCCTCACCAGTGAAGTGTGATTTGCATATCCATTGCTCTCCACTACAGGGGTTAGATCCCACCCTCGGGTTGGAGAATTTTTGTATCAAATTTCTGTATTAGCTGATCACAGTCTGACAGTAGCATGGATTTGCCTCTTCTTAAATTCCTCTCCTCAATTTTCCATTGCCATGAAATATAAATTACTAACAAACTCCAGCCCCATGGTCTCAGGAGCTCTTCCAACATCTCCGTTTACCTGCTGGTTACAAAGTGTAAATGCAGATTTATCTGTGCTGAGTATTTTTTATTTAGTTTTTATAAAGCACATTTATTCTCCAGTAATGAGGCTGCAACTCCATCCCAGGGGTCAGAAGACATCAGAGCCCTCAGAGTAGAGGGCTCCCTCTAGCTTCAATTACAGCTGTCCAAACATATGCATATTTCATGACTAAAACAACCCCCTGCCACACACTAAGGTGTAGGTGGTGCGTCCTAGTGGTCAGAGCAGGAGTTGTGGTCAGGAGCAAGCCAATGGTCAGAGCCAGGAATCAGGAATTCAGAGGTAGGCAGGGACTAGGGCTGAGTGGAGTGGGCAAGGGCTGGAGTAAGGGCTGGACAGGGGTCTGACTGCAGGCATGGAATGCATTAAGCAGCCACTGAGCTGCTGTTGCTATAGGGTTTAAATGGTGATCTGTCGGCTCTTCTGATCAATCAGGGAGCACAGTCACGTAGCGAGGTTTTATTGGGCCCAGATGAACTGGGTACAAATGCCTATGGACATCAGCCCAGCCCCAGAGGTGTTCCAATGTAAACTGAACCAGGCACAACAGGGACTTCCAGGCATCAAGATTGCAGCTGATGACATTCTTATTGTAAGAGGAGATGTCAAGAAAGAAGCAACCCAGGACCATGATACCAAGCTGTGACAATTCCTAAACAAGTCCTGGGAGTAGAATATTCAGCTAAATGTAGACAAGTTGAAGCTGAGAAGAACTGAGGCTCCCTACAATGGAAAATGTGTTGACTCCTGAGGGACTACAGCCATACCCTGAGAAATTGACAGCCATTAAGGAAATGCCGGATTAAAGGATGTGAAGGAAGTGCAGTGATTTAGAAGGATGGCCAGCTACCTTTCCAGATTCTGAGCACCTCTATCAGAAGCCTGTGAACCCCTGACACAGTTAACACTAAAGTGACCATATTTCCCTAAACTGAAAACAGGATACAGGGGCTGGTTCGAGCCACCTGGCATTGCCACTCATCTCCCCCCCCCCCCAATATTCCTCCATGCCCCCAATTGAACCTAATAGCAGGGATAGGGGAAAGAAGAATGGGTATGATCTGGGATCTGGGCAGCAAAGCAGGTGTGGAGTAAGGGCTGGACAGGGGTCTGACTGCAGGCATGGAATGCATTAAGCAGCCACTGAGCTCCAGGACACAAATCTCTGATGCAGTCCAAACAACATATGAGGTGTACCCAGGAATAAGGCCCAGATCATATCTGCCAATGTGAATCACCACAATGTCTGGTAGATCACAACCTCTTTAGTTAATGGTTGGATGCTGCAGAGTGGGCAAAATGAGTATTGTGTCCAGTTTTGGGTCCCCCACTACAGAAAGGATGTGGACAAATTGGAGAGAGTCCAGCGGAGGGCAACGAAAATGATCAGGGGGCTGGGCACATGACTTCTGAGGAGAGGCTGAGGGAACTGGGCTTGTTTAGTCTGCAGAAGAGAAGAGTAAGGCAGGATATGATAGCAGCCTTCAGCTACCTGAAGGGGGCTCCAAAGAGGATGGAGCTCGGCTGTTCTCAGTGGTGGCAGATGACAGAACAAGGAGCAATGGTCTCAAGTTGCAGTGCGGGAGGTTTAGGTTGGATATTAGCAGGGCCGGCTCCAGGCACCAGCTGAGCAAGCTGGTGCTTGGGGTGGCAGATTGTTGGAGGCGGCATCCCGCCCAATCCTAGGGCGGCACGGCCGATTTTGGTTTTTTTTTTGTTCTTGTTCCGCTCCGGCCGCCCTGTAGGGGGCGGCGGCGTGGAGAACCAGGGCAGTCCTCTTTCTTCCCTCCCCGCTGACCAGAGCTGGTGCTTGGGGCGGCAGATTGTTGGAGGCGGCATTCCGCCCAATCCTAGGGCGGCACGGCCATTTTTGTTGTTGTTGTTGTTCTTGTTCCACTCCGTCCGCCCTGTAGGGGGCAGCGGCCCGGAGAACCAGGGCAGTCCCCTTTCTTTCCTCCCGCGTGGCAGCGCCCCTGCTGTAGCCCTGGCCGCCCCCTTCTCTCTCTCTCCCGCCCGCTCCCTCACCTTCTCCCCTCCCCCCCCTGCCCCCCCAGCCGGTCCCTGCACCCGCGCTCCGGCTGCGCCGCAGGTTTTTTTTTTTTTGCTTTGCTGTTCTGGCCGCCCCTATCTTTTTTTTTGCTTGGTGCGGCCAAAAAGCCAGAGCCGTTCCTGGATATTAGGAAACACTGTTTCACTAGGAGGGTGGTGAAGCACTGGAATGCGTTACCTAGGGAGGTGGTGGAATCTCCATCCTTAGAGGTTTTTAAGGCCCGGCTTGACAAAGCCCTGGCTGGGGTGATTTAGGTGCGGATTGGTCCTGCTTTGAGCAGGGGGTTGGACTAGATGACCTCCTGAGGTCCCTTTCAACCCTAATCTTCTATGATTCTTTGAGCTCTCAACCCCGTAAGCAGCCTGTAGTCAGCAATCCCTATGTCATGTCATAGTGTATTCACTGCTCTCCCACAAACGTTGTGATCCAGGAATTACCCAAAACCCACATACTTACAATTCTGGCAATGCGCTTATTTCTTTTCCCTCAGCAATCAAAGTACCTGCACTGTTGGTTCTAAACTTTCATGCTGTGTATCTTTGGAAACATCACATTAATCTACCCCGAGATAAGGAAGTAGCCACTTGCCCCCTTCCCTCCTCGCAGGATCTAGTAAAATACAAATTTTCTCAAGCAACCAATCCAAGGCTTGCTTATCACTTTTCCTTATTCCCCACCCCCAACACAGCCCATAACTTCTGTCTCTCTCTCCCTCTGCCTGTCCCCCCACCCCTTCACACAAACACACAAAGTCCCCTGCCTCTGCTCCGCCTCACCAGATATAACAAAGCAAAGGAAACTAGCTCATTACTGAGTCACTTTAGCTCTTATGTGCTTGAATTTTAAAGCCCATCAGCATTTAATAAGTGACAAAGAGTCCTGTGGCACCTTATAGGCTAACAGACGTACTGGAGCATAAGCCACAGAACTCTTTGTCGCTTTTTACAGATCCAGACTAACACGGCTACCCCTCTGATACTCAGCATTTAATGTTTTCAGTGCATTCAGCTGCACAGAATTCTTTATATACAGGCTTTTCTGGGGATACTCCACGCAATAAGGGTAAATATCCCCAATAACATTAATGTATATTAGGTCCAATCTATCTGATGCAGGGTACAAAGGACACCCATCTTGGCTAATGGGAGTCACTCCAACCCTGTGGGGAGAATAGGGCCCCATGATTTCTTATGGAGCATTCACTCATGCCATGTCACTCTGCTTATCCAGGAATCCCAGTGTAATTCTCTGCTGTTTCCCTGTCATAAAAGTCAGTTTTATCACGAAATCAAACTCCAGCTAATTCTCTTTGAATTTCTTTGGACGTTCAGGTACAAACCCCACATTAGCTGCTCCAGAAAATGATCTTGCTCTGGAATCCTCAGCACCTACACTCCCAGGAACAGACATTGCAGAGCTATCTGTGATCTGTACATACCAGCTGTGATACCACGGTTTATCTCTAGCAAAATATTTGAGGTTTCTAAAATCTAACTTTCATCTTCAGCTTCACCCGTTCATACTGCAGCTACAGAACAGCAGCGTCTCAGACTGTAGCAACTCACAGAACAGGCTGCTAATGGACAGTTCAATGTCTTACAAGTGGATCATTCAAACCCTGCTGAAGTTGGCCTGGCATGTTTGATGCACACAGGACAGCAGTGTTATTTTAAATTGTATGGACTGTATATCAGGAATTATTCACAGGTCCCATACACAGGCACAGAGCTGGACAGGGGATGAGGGTGGAGGTCACAATACAGAAGCCCACTTTGCTTTTCTTGTGGTTAGTTTGTTTATCAGGAGTTTCTAAGCACTGAAGCCATTAGTCCACTAAAACCAACTCTGGGCTCACAGTGCTACAAGACTGGGGTATTTTATAAAGTACACACAGTCTGGGACGGGTCAAATCTATGATTATTGCAAATATATAAACTTCCTCTCTCAGAATAACCAACGGGGAGATAATTACACACACACATTTACTTAAACCCAATTGCCTGCTTTCCTTTTGTTTCATTGATGTCTGGAATAAAACCCCATTTCTAGTGGATTCAAAACTCTATTTCTAGCTCTCATCTGCCCAATTCATAAAGTAAAATAAATCAGACACTTACCCATGGTGTCCTGAAGAAAGAAGAGAAACCAAAGCAGCTGAGTGGAGAGATGTCCCTTCATTGCCAGCCGGACTAGCTGTCCCCTCCTGACACTGCACTGGCTGCACCAAAATACTCTGCCAGGGCTCCTCTGTGTCTAATAAGTGACAACAAAGCAGTGGAAGGGAAATATATAGATTCAGATGCTGGCATCAGCTGTCAGAAGGAACCAATAGAAACAATATTCACCTTTTTAGACATTATCAGAGGATTTATCTAAAACTTTGTGCAGCTAAAACATCCAATACAATTCTAAAACTCCGGCTGTGACCATATATGAGTGACGAGTCCGCTTCTGATGTCATCTTCGCTTCAGTCTCGGATCATCATGTAACCACCCTCCTTGGCGTAGGGCAGAACAGTGTGAAAAATGATTCTGTCTTTTTAGGCAAATAAAAGTGAGCCTTGAATGCTGCTCATCTGATCAATTAATTAAGAAAACAAATGTAGGGAAAGAAGAAACCTCTAAAATTGAACCCCACAGAGCTGTGTGTGTCCAATCGTAGCCAGGCCACTAAACCACAGAGCTGGGATGTTACCACTGGGGTCAGCTGTATCCAAGGGAGAAGGGAACAGCCCCTGCTCCCTTTGTGGAATCCAGACTGCTCAGGGCTTCCTGAACGGAGTGGGAATGGCAGTGGTACATTAGTGGTAGGAGTGTGTCAGGGAGCTTCCTTCTTCAGATGTGACCATCAGTGGCAGCAGAATCTCAGAGGGCTTCCTGTTCACCCTGTTAGAGCTTGTTCTTAACACTTACTGATTAGGTTCTGCATGACCATCTGACATACCGTAGTGTGGACTCTCTGTCCAGGCCAGTGCTAGGACTGCCCTGTGTGGTAACTCTAGGCAGCACAGGCTGTCTTAGTCAGTCTGGGAGCTAGAGAGAATCACAGCGTCCTGGCCATTTCCATCCGTCTGAATAGAGAATCTCCTTAATAGTCAGTGCAGCTGAAACCCGTCTCGTCTGTACAGCGAAGAGCAGCACATTGGCCATAGGACACGAGCTTCCCAGAAGACAGCTGCAAGTTAACCAGGAAAACAACATAGCCGACGTCCAGCGGAAAAGCAGCCTGGGGAAGGAGCAATCAAAGATAAAATCCAGCCCGAAGGAGCTGTGTGTAGGTTCGTGTTAGAACAGGCCTAACCGAGGCATTTAGAATGGATTTTAAATCAGCCCATCACAGCAATTTGTGGTGCCAAACAGAAAGGTGGCCTTGTAGGAAACAGCTCAAATGCAGGCATCTCTGGCACTTTGCAACCCCTATCTCATGAAGGCCAAACTGCCGTAGCATGAGCTCCTTGGCAATGAACAACAGGCTGTTTCCTCAGACAGACGCCATCTTATTGAGTGGCAAGAACTCTGAATCAGCACAGGAAGTTCTCTCTCCATCCAGAGAGCGGCAAAGAACCATGTGGCAACTACACCAGCTCTGCCTTAAATACTACCCTATCAGCAACTCACCATGCAAGGTCCAGTACAGCACAGTGCAGCCACTTACCCTGAATAATCAGAACACAGGTCAGAGAATTCAAGAACAGACTGATAATCGAAGAAGGTGCTGGCAATGTTACTGGGAGAGGGGGTGAGCTCTCCTTGCAACAGCTCTCATTGCTTTTTCTGCCCCAGGAGGTGGACAAGTGGGACAGACTGCAAATCAAAGGCTAAAATTCACTAGGTGGTTAGAGCTTCTCCTGTTATTTGGAGACTGGGCCCCACCCCACCAAAATCCCATCACCAGGAGCAGTTTGCCAGAGCTAGCAGTGCTGTGACAGCCACTCCAAGGCCATCCCCTTCAGAGCAGGTGTCTTGGGTGGGTCCTGCAGCTCCCCCAGCAGAAGCACAGGGCCATGCTGTGAATAGGGTTGACCATGTTATGTGGCTGATCCCATGAGCAAGGCAGAAACAGCCAGGCAATGATTGTTGCCCAGTAAGTGGGGGGAAAGGGTTGGGAAAGTCCTGGGGCAGGTCTCTGCTCAGAGCCTAGTGTCTGGAGTGGAGCCAGCAGAGCTCCCTGCCTAAGGGAAGCTGGGGAGAGGCCCGAGGAGTGGGCAGGTGAGCCTGTGGCTGGGAGACGAAAGGACAGGATCAGAAGTCTGGACATGAGGGGTAGCTGTGGAACCCTGAGAAAGGGCCATATGGGTTTGTGAGGTTCTGCCCCTGTGTAGCTGGGAAAGGCCACATGAAGCAGGTGGGAGAGCTCTGCTGTGAAGGTGAAGAAGGGGATACAGTTCAGTGGTGTCACTGCCCCAAGGAAGGGGGCCTTAACTGCCCCCTCTGGGGTGTGAGCAGTTAAGGAACTGACAGAGGGGAAACAGAAGGAAGGATGGCCACTTTCCATTCCATGGGGCCTGTGCCAGACTGCACCCTGTGATACTACAGATCTGGGGTTAGAAGTTTGGGGAGAAGGCCTGAAACCTCCTAAATCCCACTGCCAGAAAGCACAAAATATCCATAGGGTCCTGCAACTGGGCTTTCATGACTTGCACTGAGTCTAGACTATGACTTAAACCAGAAAGTGTATTGGCTTTGCCCCACATGGAGAATGCATGTATGTCTGTTGGGGGTCGGGGGAGTAATAAAAATTTTGCTTCTGTCCCTGTGACTAGATGCTGTAACCATTTCCTGTTGTTTGAATTTCCTATTTACTCCTGTACGGTGATGCATTTTAATACTTGCCTTGATTCGCTCCCCCACAGATAGAGAAGAACCTTTCCCAAAAGCCCTGTTAGTCTCGGTTTATTTCACAGTATGGAAAACACCAAAGGGATCAGTATGGACTCCCCATGAGAGATAGGCACAGTGTGGGGTCCATGCTGTACTCCCAGCCCGGCCAATCTGAGAGGAAGGCAGGGAAACGCCTCCCATTTGAAGGTGCGGACCACAGAAAGGAGAATTGTACCATCTCCCCAACACTCACAGCACAGAAGGGCCAGGGAGCAGGAGGCTGAGGCAATGCAGCAGCACCACCTTCATTGTGACCCCTGAAACGCTCCTATGCTTGACCTCCTCGTGTTTGGGTCTCTGCTGCTCATGGGGGAGTAACTAAGGCTGGAGGGGGCAGATCCTCTCCCTGTGTCACCATCACCCTATAATCCTTCAGCGATTTCACTGTATAAGAAACTCCCACCACACGCAGGGCTCAGAACGAGACCCAAGCTGGATCTTCTGAGTCCATCTCTTATTTGGTAGTTCCAAACTCCTGGCCAGGGATCTGGAGCGGGGTGGTCTCCAGGACATTGCAGCAGTCAGCAGGGAGTCAGCCCCAGTTCTCTCTCAATCATGGTGCAGTGCGGGGAGAGGACACCTGTCGGTTTGGCTCAGGCCTGGCTGTGTCGTGCTCCCAAACCCAACTGGGAGGCTGAAGCAGCAGGATCTTTTCTGATGGAATGGGACCATCAACCTCAGTACAGTACAGCTGAAAGGGGAACATGGTCATAATACTGCCCTCTCCCCTCCCCCGCAGGAACAGGGGTCACCACTAGAGGGCAATGTAGGAAAGCAGCCTCAGTGGCTTTCGGGAGCACACTCCCATTGGTGCACTGCCTCTGCTCCTAAAGCCCGGACCAGCCTGACCCGGCTCTGAGTTGAGCACTCAGTATCAGTGTGAGGCGAACCCACAGCCAGACCAAGGCTGCTCACTCAGCTGCACTGGCTCACCGCAGGCCATTTAGTGGAGTGTGGGTCCAGTGCTCTATCTGGGCATTTCTCTTTCCCTCACTGATCCCTCCACACTTGAGAACTGGGTTGATCTCAAGCCCAGGGTGGCTGACAGTTTGCAGAGGTGTAGGGGGTTTCTCCAGTGCCTTTCCCTACAGAAGAGGGCACTGGTGCTCAACCAGCTGATCCCGTCCATGCTCTGGAACTGGCTCAACATCCTGCCCCTGCCCCGGGCACCCTGGCTGCTCTGCAGAATAAAATCTTGGAGTTCTTCTGGCCAGGGTTGGACTGGGTTTCCCCAGGTGCCCTGAGCCTCTCCCTGGAGGAAGGAAGACAGTGTCTGCTTTTCCTCTGCAGTTAGGTCCATTTCTTCCACCTCCAGGCTCTGCACAGGCTCCTTTCTGGGGCAGGTATTCCAACATGGAGTGTGCTGGCACACACCTTTCTCTGCCCCCTCCAAGATCTCTGATAAAACTGACAGCTCTTCTATCTCCACCTAAGTGGCCTCCGATCAGACCTCTCTGAGTTGCTGGTCTTTTACCAGGACCTCCTCGGGACCTAGAATCTACTCTTCATGACCAGGTCCATGGCAGCCACTGCTACAAAATCGCTATTTAGGTGTGCTTCCTGTACTGAGAATGGGAGGTGTGGGGAGGACAGCCTCTTAACACTGGAGGTCAGTCCTGATGAAGCTCATGAGCATCTCCTTCAGAGTCTGTTTGAAATACTCCCCTAGGCCATCTGTCTTTGGGTGGTGTATGGAGTTGTGCAGGTTCTTGATTCACAATAGACCACATACCTCCCTCTTTAGCTCGGAGGTGAAATTTGTACCTTTGTCCTTCAGGATCAACTTGGGTAGTCCCACTGTTGCAAAGATTTTCAATAATTCTGTCACTATCACTAGGGCCATGGTGATCCTCAGGGGAAATGCCGCAAGGTAGCGTGTGGCATAGTCAACTACAACAAGCATATAATGGTAGCCAGTGGAGTTCTTTTCTATGTGTCCTATAATGACCACCCCTATCCGCTCGAATGGGATTTCTACCAGTGGTCACACCTCTTTCTGGGCTACCAATTGGCAGTCTGATCAGAAAGCACAATAATCTTTTACTTCTTTGTGAATGCCTGTCCGAAAAAGGCAGGGTAACAGAAAGGCCAGGGTTTTCTCCTGATGCAGGTGGCCTTCCATTGGCACCTAATGGGCCAACGTGAGTGTTTCTCATCAGAATGTATGGGGTATGAGAATTTGGGTATATTGTTTTCCGTGTAGGGTTCCTTGTGCTGGGAGATAGAGCAGGTCTGCCCGCAACTCAAACCGCGTCAGGCGAGTAGCTAGCCCACGTTGATCATTTCCTCATCTATTTGGGTCTATACCCTCCTCATAGACCCTCCAGAAAGAATCCTCCCTTTGCTCTTTGACCTGCAGTTGGATGACTCCAATTGCTTCCCCACATCTACCGGTTCTTGTATGAGGCCCTAGGAGAACTCATTCCAGCGGAGTCATCTGCTTTGCTTAGGTAACAACCCCTAGTCTCCTTATCTAAGTCTCGTCTCTCATGTCCGGTGGTGCATTTCTCATGTCTGGTACACTGGGACTTAGCCTGGGATAGGAAGAAATCTTCAGTCTCAAATGGAAAGAGGTTGTCTTTTCAACTCCTCTAGTGGCCTCCATTTGGCCCTTCAACGGGGTCTGCAGCAGTGTGTTAAAGTAGGGCCAGGCCAGCTCTAACAGAACTGGGTACAGCAATTTATGTGCTAGACCTAGTGAGAGGTGGCCTGTTTGTCCACCCGCTGTTAGCCAAACCTTCACACAGGGATAGCCCTTCACGTCCCCATGGAGGCATGTCAGGGACATGGTGCCTTACAAATAGACCTCTGCCTCCCTCAGCAGGTCTTCTCTCACTAGGATCTGCTTACAGCCCAAGCCTACCAGGGCTGGTTCCTCCAGGTCATTGATGTGCATCATGGTGGTCAATTTGGGTTGTCTGGCATTTGATTGAGTCTGGGGAAAGTCAAGCCAGCCCCATTAATTACACTCCATGGTCTGATAATCCCTTCTGATATGTTCTTCTTGCCCACATAGGAAACAGATAACCCTCACCAGTGAGCTCTGTAATAACAGAATAGCCGGGGTTTCGGCCTTCCCTGATCTCCCTGTCTTGGCCTTCAGAGAACAGGGTGGGGAGTAAGTTGGGGCCAATCTTTGGTGTGGGGACTTATCCATTGTGGGGTGAGGCCGCCATCCACCCTGTGGTCACAGAATGACCATCCCCCCTCTCACCTGCCCTAATTGAATTAGGGGAGGCAAGCACTGAAATAGTTCTCTGCTAGTCTGACTGCTTCTCCCACCACCTCTGGACAGTGTCTCTGTACCCATTCGCGCATGGGCATGGGGAGGGCCCAAAGGAACTACTCGAGAATGACCAGTTCAGGTACTTGCCTGCTTGTCCTGGACTCAGGCCTCAACCACTTGCAGCTGATGTCCTTGATCCTCTGCAGCAGGGTCTGAGGCCATATAGATGGGCTGAATCATTGTTCTCTGAAACAGCGGCAGTAAGTCTCTTTGGTTAATTGCAGTCTATAGAATATGGCTGTCTTCACTGTTGGATAGTCCAGGGCAGACTGCCAGTTGAGGGGCCTATAAGCGGCTTCCCCTCCCGCGTCAGGACAGTCAGTAGGCCGATGTTTCATGTCTTGAGGTACCAATGTGCACAGGTGTTGATCAATAAAAAGGTCTTTAGAAAGGCCTCTGGGTCATTGTCTGGTAACATTTTGGACAACACTGGGTCACCGGGTCAACATGACCAGTCTGCCCTATCTCCAGCTGGCAGGGGTGGGGCCTCCTGGTGGGCACCCTCATTAGCGTGCCCAGGTGGCCCTGTTGTTGAGCTGCAGCGTGAGCCTCCTGCTGTTGCTGCTGGGTGCCTGCTTGCAGCTTGTTTTGCCGTTTGCTTCAACAGCTGTAGTGTCAAGACTTGCATCTGCCGCTGCTGCTCCTGGGCTGTTGCTTCCTGGTCTAAGGGAGCGGCCTGCTGCTTGGCAAATAACCATAATGCTTCCTCCACCTTGGGCCCTACTGAGCTTCTATATCCACGCTGCAGTTCTGTGGGGATGGGATACAGTGAGAAATCCCACTTCTAGTATCATGTGTGAGTCGGTGCATCAGTCCAACAGTGCCCCTCCTGGCCAAGCAGGGAATGGCACCAGCTCCCTCAGCTCAGTGGGGCCCAGAAATCTGAAAAACCCTCTCAGTTCTAAGGTCTGTCAGGGGGTTGGTAGGGGAACCTAGGCCCACCCACTCCACTGGGTTCCAGCTCAGGGCCCTCACAAGCTAGACTTGCAGGATGAGGATTTGCCAACTCTGACAGTGCCCTGAGCGCCTTCCTAACTTTCTTCCAGCCTCTGAAGGCTCTTCAGTCTGTTGGTCCTTTTGTCCCTTGCTGGGTGTTATCCCTGGGCTGCTCTTTAGTAGTCTGCTGACAGGAATTAGCTTGTCCAGCCTTCTCACTCCTGTGGTAGCTGCCCTGCCCCTTTACTTCCCAGCCCATTTATCCTACCAACTGCTGTGAGGCTGCCAATCAACAGTGGCTTGCAGTGTATTACCCTTTGGTTGCTGGGCCAGTGGGGGTTACATATGCCATATGGTAGGCACCTAGGATTATACTGGAGTCTATTTGGATGTGCCCACTCTTCCAAAGACAACAAAATGTAATCTGCCCCTATGAGGTTCAGAGAACCTGGTCTCGCTGCTTCGGAACATGAGCTCAGAAATTCGTACTGAGACCATCCTTGGGGCAAACTGAACTGTGCTAAGGGCACTCCAAGCTGTGCCCCTGAGGCTCCAGAATGACCCCTAGACATGGGAGCCCCAAACAACATCTTAATTCAGCTAATGCAATGTGAGCGAGACAGAAATACTTAGGGGCCTTGGAACCAGTGACCTTTTCATAGATTCAGTGGTGGTCAGGAGCCCAGGCTCCATGAGAATCGCAGCCTCCAGATGGGATCCTGTGAATACTGCAGATCAGATGGGATTCATCAGAAACCTTCTTGAGAGTTGTAGGGACAGGGCCTTAGAAAATGCTCTGAGACTCATCACTTTACCCAGGATTTCAGCTGAGTTAGGGTGGTCTGAGCTCTTAACTCTGCCTTAAAGCTTGTTTATTGCCCATGAAATGTTGGACATCCCCTACTACAAGGTGAAAGTCACTGAGTCTTTGGTCCATTCTTGTAACTTGACTCTGGACTATTTACTGTCCTGTCTTTGTAGTGATAAATAATCAAATTACAAAAGGAAAGAAAATATGGTGAATGTGAAACTTGTCAGATGAATATGATATAAAATTATTCTGCTAAATTGCCAGGGGGCAAATTTGTCACATACACATGGAAGATGTACAGCACAGCTATTGCTACGTCTTAACCCAGGAAGTTCCTTCGAGAGGAAATGTAGCCAAACTCCAAACCTGGAGACAATGGACCTTTCTATGCCTGCGTCCTGTAGATAGCTAACTGCTTGGTTTGCAAAATAAGCAAGGAGGAGGGGGCAAGTAGATGAACAGTAAGGGGTCATAAGAGGGGCAGATACATGTTGCTTGCTAATTATGTATGGTAATGATGGCAAATTTTGGCGAATCATAAAGCAATAGATTATCATAGTCAACTGCATATAATGCTTTGGTGTAAGTGTTTTCTTTGTTCTTGCTGACTTATGAGCTCGAACCCAATTGCAATTGAGATAAACGGATCGCCCCTCCCTGGGCTCCTTGTTTGATTAGCTGTGTCTGTCTCTCCTTATTCCTCAGCTGGAACGGACAGAAATTTCTATGACAGTTTTGGTGACCACGAAGGGACTTCTCCAGCTCAGAACCGCTCCGGGGCCCCTTCCTGGAGAAGGACCAGCGCGCGCCGAGGTGAGTTTACCTTGGGTTGTATTGTCTTGGGAGTTGGCCCCCGGTGGGGACGATAAGGAGGACTCTGAGAGATGGACCACAAGCAATGAGACAGATCGCGTTGGAAGAGGCCTCATTAGGAGATGGGTAAATTGTCTCTGTTATATGTTATGTGTACACAGGGGTCTTGGACCTGACGGTTTCCTTGGGACAGCCTTGGTGAAATTACTGGGACATCCATCTGGCAGTTAAACACTTTTAGAGTGCCAGCCCAGTATAAAAACAAGTTTTGGATGACAGGAGATTACCCAGACAGGAACAGAGGCTGACTGGATAGACTGGGTGGTCTCTCCGGGACATAAAAGAAACCGTCACTGACTCCAGGGCTTTGTTCTCGGTAACACTGCGGATGGTGGAGCACTGAAGCAGGGAATTTAGGAGTCAGTTAGACCTGACATGGGAAATTGTCAGGGGAAATTCGATGCCAGCACACTTCTGGTATGTGTTCTCAGGAATTGGGGAAGACTTCGCCTCAAAACCTTGAGAACCATCCTGGAAGATTTAAGACCAGAACGAATGAATTATTTGTATTTGTTTTATAGCGCTGCTCCAATTTGCAAAGATAAAGAGTGCACTCTCATGTTACAACAAACTAAACCTCCTCCTTACCAGCAGTGTAGAGTAGAGGAAGATGATTATAGGCCTGTTCCCCCACCAGCTGCATCCCCTCAACCCCTTCCCGTTCAGGTAAATCAGGTGGTCCCAGGGACCGCCTCTGCACCAGTGTTGGATCTACCTCTAACCCTATCCTGACCCCGAGCCACATTGTATCCTGATCTGCCAGTGGCCTATATTACCTGAAGCTACGTTCGCAGGCAAAGTCTGCCCGACTCCTCCACCGGCTCATGGAGTTAGTCTCCCGAGTGTGTTCCTGGAGACGTCAATTTCAAGCTCATTAAACAAGAAGGACAGGACTTTCTGGCACTCCAATTGCCCTTAAGACAGTACCCTGTTCCTA